CGATGGCTCAGCCCTTGTACTTCGGGTCCTGGGTACCTCTCTATGGTTCGATACTATTTTGTTCACTGTACCGCATTCACAGGTCACGTTCTCTTCACTTTCAAGACCTATAATTGGCATGTACTTAACATTTAACTGCCCGTTGCACTTGCGGCGTCTGTTTTATTTATTGCAAAATTTATATTACACGAATATATATTTATTTCATTTACGCTGTTCACTAGGTGTCCGTTTGAAATATTTACTGAAGTTTTTATAACACATTTCACGGCACTTCTCTTGTTACAAAATCTACAAGTTAATGTTTTTAATCTTACTTTGGAGTCCTTGCCACTCATGGAATTTTTTAATTAGGTTAATTTTTGCGCAGTGCCAACAAGTAACTGCGTATTGTCCTTCTTTGTCCGGGGAAAGTTCACTTACACTAGCTAATTTATAGTAACTGTTGTTTTTATTATTGACAGTTGCACTGTTCGTGTCCATTTCACTATTTTCTGGAGGGCCCAAAGGGCCTCCCGAAATATCCACATTCATATAAACGCGAACTAATGTGGGTAATTTATAAAAATATTGAGTTACTCGAGACGCGGAGCGCGAGTGAGCTCCGCGCGCACGTCCGCTCGTCACGGCTACTGCCGGCTAAAACCTGTCCACGAGGACGTCGATTTTAAACTTATATACAGATACCGGCAAACTACTTGAGCATTAAACAAGGGAGTGGGGGAAAGTTTGCGCATCGTATTGCAGCGCGGGACACAAACGTCAACTGATTTACCAATCACGCGATCGACACGTCACTCTCCCGCCGCCGCGCACCACCCCCTCCGCCCCCCTCCCAGTGATATCTTAAAATCGCTTGGACAATTTGTTCAAGATGTTTGCCGGTATCTGTACTAAGATTAATAAGTTAAAAGGTCTTCTTGAATTATATTTTTATTTTTCAGCCTATTAATGCTAGCAGAAGCTGATGATAAAAAAAGACACAGAAATGTTTTTTAAAATGTCTGAAGATTTCGGGGCATTACACTTGCCTTACACGTAAGATAACGATGTTATTATCGAAGGTTCTTTTTATTTGTTTTTGATTATGAATTGTTAAACAAATGCAATATGATTAAGAATGATAATTTTCAAGGCGTGTTTGAATACTTTAGATAACATTTAATAAATTTACAGAAAAATATCATCAAAAGGACTGTAATTTATAAAGTTAGGTTTTTATTAGACTCTTAACAGTGCAAGAGCCGATCCAAGTTCAGCTGTGTACCAATTTTAAAGCGTTTGATGAAAGCTACTTGTAAAATGGCATTATGAGCCGTTTTTACTTTTTGGTTACTTCAAATTAATGTTTAATTCGGTTTTCTTCTGATTCAAAGGGTAAACAACAAAAATTCAAAGGGTATGACGAATAGGAATAGAAGGAATATCGAAAACTTTAAGGAAATCCGTCAATTTCTCCTTCAAAAATGATTTAAAAAAATTTAATATCTCAAAGGTTGAGTTTCTATTACTAGCTAGATGGAGCTGGACCCGCGGTTTCATTCCCTTTAATTCGAAGATGATTAAGCCTTCAGCATGCACCAATAAATGGACTATGCATCACAAAATTTTCCACTTCCAACTAATAAACACTCGTAAAATAAAGATATATATATTATTAATCCTTCGAGCCGTTTCTGCAGAACTGGTGCCACGGCGGAATTCGTACTCGTAAATAACGCGATATTTCAATTTTCCACTTTATAAATAGAGCGACGCAAAGAATAAAACATGAAACGGGAAAATTACATTAATCATGGTTTTCGAAAACCAAATGCACTTGTAAATAGTTGTAAAAAATTCAATTTGGAATTCTTAACCAAAGAGGAGATATTTGCGGTCCAAGTGGCCAGACAAATCGCTTAATACAAATGTATCTAAGGACCTAATATATTAAAAGATGACCTCAGACTTATCTGTTGTGGATATAAGGATAAATTAACACTTATACCTAAGAATAATTAATACCATTTAATTAGGTCTTGAAGTGGAATGTAACGAATACAATAAAAACGTGCGTCATTATAAATATAAAATGTTGTACGCGAATTGGTCATTGTTAAAATAAATTTCAACAATTACCCTAAAAATATGAATTTAAATCTCGAAAGGAGTCAACAAACGGGATGTGTTAACCCTAATTTTGTGTGTGACTTTAAAACAGAAACAAGTCCTACACGATATCTCTTCGACTCTTGAAACAACCGATTCCGCCATATTATAGATAGTAGTTGTTCGTTACCATGGTTACCATTCTTTTTATATGGAAAATTCTGCATAATAAACGTAGTTTAATGCCTTATAAACACTAAACTTAACCAAAACAATAGATTAAAAGATGACAAGTCCTTAATCTATAAAACATATAATTATCTCTTTTTGTCAAATTGTGTTTATGACACCATGAAAAGAGACAAAAGACTTATAAAGGAACAAAGCCACAGTATCTGCTGTATGGATATCTAATACAAATAATATTGTTGTAATTGGCAGTACATTGCCAGTTTCCTTTTGAGGCGCTTACAGGTAATTCTCACACATTTGAATACATAATTAATATTGTCATAATCCTTCATTGCAATTAAGTGAATAAAGCCGTGTATTTCCCAGAAATTATTGTATATTTCCTACTGTCAATAACATATGTTTGCATATTAAATATTTCTTTAAAATAAATCAGTGGCGCTACAAACTTTTTAGGTTCGGGCCTGGTATCTGTTTCATGATCATTTATCAATCTTATGGTGCCTGACACACGCCGTCGACTTTTTGGGTCTAAGTAAGCTGGTTTCCTCACGATGTTTTCCTTCACTATTCGAGCGAATGTTAAATGCCCACATAAAAGGAGTTCCATTGGTGCACAGCCAGGGATCGAACTCACGACCTCAGGGATGAGAATCGCATGCTGAGCCACTAGGCCAACATTGCACTCCATATTTCTTTTAATGCACTAAATTATATTACAAAAACTTTACCGCAATACATAGGCGTTCTTTCTAAATAGATTTCTTATTTATTAGTGAGATTTCGTTTCCATAATAATCGTACATAAACTATATTTTCGTTTAGTATATTTGTCTGCTTTTATATATTTTACTACTACTCAAAACTTGATTGAGAATATATAAGAAAACAAGAACTTCCTCTTGGATTTGCGTCAAATTGCGCGGGCGCACAAACTTAATAAATAAATCGTAGAAGATTATCAGCTCCCAACACGGCGCAAACTTGCAATAACTCATGTTTAACTCGCCTTCTTATATCCCACGACGTTAAAGTATGGTTATAGTCTATTTTTAATTAACTAGCTGATTCTAGTGACTGCGTCTACGAGGGTTAAAAGGGTCCTTACAATGTTTTATAGTAAGAGAACCAGCGAAACCTCGTACATACATCCCTACATCCATAAACTTAGAAATAAAGATGAGAAGAAATATGTATTGGAAGAAACCTTTAAAATAAAAGTACAAAAAACTTAAACTATTTTAGAAATTCTATATATATGGCTACCAATGGCGCTACAAACTTTTAGGTCTGGTCCTCAGATTTCTGTATCTGTTCCGTGATCATTTCTATATAGGCAGGTCAAGTTTTGGGGTCATGCCGGTTGCGTCACGATGTGCATGTCCATTGGTGCACGACCGGGGATCGAACCAACGACCCCAGGAATCGTAAGCTAAAGCCACTAGGCCAACACAACACACAACACTGCTCTATAAAAATGCTATATACTTCTTGATAAAAACATAAAAAAGGTCTTTTTTTTTTTCAAAATAAACTGAGATTTACAAGCGAACCCAGGTTTTCAGGGGCCCCACATGACAGGCGTCCAGGCACAAATGATCTTGTTACAATATACAATATTTAACTGTTATTTTTACAACCAGTTATTTTAAAGATAACACCGATATTAATAAAAAAATCGGTTTAAAAGATTATTAAAGAATCGATTTGACTAAATATAAAAATACTAAATAATAATAATATTCTTATATGATTCCCACTGGTCTATATATCTAAACCTCTCTAAATCTATTTGACGGTTACGATACCATATACTTTATTATATGTATGTTATGTGTTTAATATTATATACTTTATAATAATAATTATTCTAAATAAAATAAAAATAACATTATTAATAAAACAAAAAGCATTAACTAACCTTAAAACATAATAACTAAAATATATTATTAAAAGGAGTCCCTTTAGGCAAGGTTCCGAAGATACTGGCAGCGTTCCCCCTTTGAATAGCTAGACTAATTCTTTGTCCGAGGTAGCTGCCAGCTCTTCGGTCTCCTGTGATGTCGACTAACCTTTTTGTTATCCCCTTAAAAAGCCTTATAGCGCTAGGACCCCACACACAGGACAAAGAAAGTATATATATTACGTTTATTTTTACGTTTTAATATGTATAAATATTGAATACAGATCGTCTCCACCCAAACAGGTTTACAAAGTAATAGCAACCTAAATTATTAAATCTAACTCTATAAAATCCCAATCCAGCTCCTCGCTCCGTTCGCGCAATTATAATACTTCAACTACGCGTGAGAAGGCCCCTTTACTGCAAAATCTAAATATGATACACACAATTATAACCTTACACACATGGTAATAAGAGCGACAAGAGCAGCATCAGTTAACAATGTCGGCAGACCGACGTAGCACAAATATTATTTCTAAGAACATCCACGACCCGCTTGTTTATGGACCCACCTGTATCGCTTTTATCAATTAATAGTTTTCATGCATTAATATTAATTAATCGCAATGATTTGAACGGAAATTATATAGACTACATTACAATTTGTAAACGTATTTTATAGCCACGAACAAATTCTCTTTCGCTTTATTCGCCAAATTAAGAAAGTATTTTAAACGCCCGCAAACTGAATTCGTAACCGACAAAAATGCGTATAACAAGTGAACTGCGGTAGGTGGCTGCAGTTAAAACTCATTTAAAATCCACCGCTGCAAGGCAAAGAGTGCGTAAATATGAATGAAGATGTCTCGGTCGGCCCCACAGTGCGCATGGGCATTGTGCCCCACAGTGCGCAGCGAGGCTCATTAATACAATTAAAATGTGGTGTCGCACGCCACGTAAAAACTCCATCCCCTCCGCGGAGCTCACGTGGCGACATTGGGCCAAAGGATTTCATGGCTGTCGTGAATTTTATTCCAACATCAATCACTTCTACTTCTAAAATACTCATGAGTAATAATTTTAAAAATAGTTTGGTTCTAAGCTAAATGAAAATCGCATGTAGTGACAGAGAATCAGAGCGGAGTTAATTAGGTCCGATGACCCGTACCGGTAACTAATGCTGTTAATTGTTGATAATTGCCGATAACAATCAGTGCTGGAGCCTCGCGCCGTCCGGCCGGCATTTCCTCGATTACCATGCGTACGCGTTTTTGTGCGCGACAATTACGTGCAATCAGTATGCACGCGGCGGACGAGAGGTCTCCTCTCCTCTCCCTCCTCAGGAGCCACTTTTTGCCCTCCCCTTCGTGGGAGCCTGGTGCTTAGAATATTGTGTAAGATGAATTTAAAAGAATGCGTTGACGGTATTTATAATTACAAAGCTCTTAATGAATTATAATTACGTTTTTGTCATTAACTAGACTACTACTTGGAGAGGGAAACGGAGCAACATTGTAATAATGAAAAAATGTAATGACTGAGCTTCGTTTTGGGGTTATAAAAGATATAATAATAGTGGCACACAACGGCACTAACAAATGATAATAAATTTGGCAATCATCTCACAGATCAGAGAGCGTTTCATCGAAACAAACGCAAAAACGTCAAACATTTAGATGATGCAGAGTCACGTCGCCTGCGCATCAATATTTCATTTATTCAAAACTACCAAAAACTCAACCATTGAATATTCGGGCGAGCGACGCGACGTGTTTGCATCTGAACGCGCTCGCTAAAAACTGCATTCAAACAAGCCGAGCATTTTGCGTCAGGGCTGACTATTTAAAATTTTTACTAGACTGAAACCACTGACTTGCCGGTCACATTTCGGCCATGAGAACTTGGAGATACAAATGGTGGTTGGTAACACAAAAGGCAATAGGGGTCGTGGCCATTCACCAACCAGATGGAGTGTCAACCAAGGGATGACTCATCTTCCAGAGAGGCGCTGGACAGAAACCTATGGAAACAGATAGTCCGGACGAGATGTTTCCTTGCTGACTGATTTAGACATGAACTACCGACCGAACACAAAGAGAGAGACTGAAGTAGGGTATATCAGCTATTTTATTTTCTAACTAAAGTGAATCACAAGATTTTCACGTCTTTCGCCATAAAATTTAAAATAAAAGAGTTTTTGTTGGTCTGATCTTGAGATATCGATGTCTGGTAAGTGCAGCAAAAGCTTTTATTTCAAAAACCTCAGTTTTCAGTGCCTTCCTAAATTGTTTACGTTCGTAATCAGAGTATATATAATGTACGGTGCAACATCTCAATACTCAACTGTCATTAGATGCGCAGAGGTTCATTTAGATTATTTCCCAACATATAAACCCAAACTTTTGTTTGAGTTGTATATATTTATACGAAATGTAATCCTGATTTAAGTACAGGGCAACTAAAAGAGTTTTCGTCCTGTGAATTTATTTCATATTCCCATAGGAGGATGAAGGTAACAACCCTACCCCCTTCCCCTCTGGGTCTCAGTGCTTCATTCACACGGCGCAGAATTGACCGCAATTAAACCAAAAGCAGCGACAATCACATTGAGATTTTTTCTCTGAGACCGAAAGAGCGCACCATCTTAACATTTTATTGAGTTTTTGCCTCCACTTGTTATTGCATAGCATTTATGTTTTAATAAAATCTCATTTTATGAATACTCCTTATAACAATTACTGACACAATACTCCAAGTAGGTAGGTTAATGTATTTCTAGAGTACATAAAACTTGCTACCGGGATCGAGAAGCAAAGTTTAATAGTAACTATTAAGTACCTAGTAGCAATAGATATTTGTAAACTTGAACCCATAAGTAAGTAGAGAATAGCAACTGTATTAATTGTTAATTGTAATGAGTAAGAGACGGCTCGGAAATCTTCTTTGTCGACCCGTCAATGACACTATTAAGCAAAACCATTGTTCTAATCTTGCTACAATGTATACTGTACTACCAAAATATATACACTGAATTACACTCACATTTTTTTATATACTATAGGGCAAACAAGCATACGGGATCCCAAAAGGGGCAGTCATCGCAGCTAATCGACAATTTTAGTGGGAGCGTTGCCGGCCTTTGATGGAGGAGATAGTTTTTCTTTAAACAATTGGAGGTCGTATCTCCCAGTGAAGACAAATACCGGGAGTCGATTCGCAGTTCATTTTACGGCAATACAGGGTGTCTAAGGTTGTATTGTTTGTACAAAAGCCTTCTCTTCGTCTATGAACGTGTACTTATCAGAGAGGCAACACATTAAGAAAGGTTGTATAGGGATAGATAAATAAAATTTACTGCTATAAGTGACTAAACTGTTTACCTTAATTCTTTATGTAGAATAATGTAATTCAATCACAAAACTTAGCACGATCTCTGACTCGCGTATGTTGAAATCCTACGTTTTTGGTTGACAGGAGTCATACTGTTCGATATATATATTGAGCATTATGATAAACGAGCTAGGTCTGCCCTGCGATTCTGTAACTCACTTTTCGAACTCTCACAGCGGTTTTCGCATCGGCGGTCGTAAAGCAGTCATTTTATGATTTGGCATTCTGAAAAGGTGGGAGGTTATATTTTATTGCTTATCAGAATGCCAAATCATAAAATGACTGCTTCACGACTGATTTGAGAGCGACCGCCGATGCGAAAACCGCTGTGTGAGTTCGAAAAGTGAGTTACAGAATCGCAGGGCTGGATATCCATAGTTGCTCCCTTCACACTTTGAAATCAATTTTCCTTTAGTATTTATAATTTAAGAATCGTTTTTTTCTGTTCGTGTTTGTTGTTTGCCTACAAGCCTTGTCACATTAAATCTTGTATTATTTTTCTAAGTACCAATGTATCAGTGTAACTAAAAATTATTATTTTTAAAATTTTACCTTAACATGATAAGAAGAATTCAACTCATTAATTCCATAACATCTCCATGTCTCTATTAAATTAATCTTTATTATTTTGTGAAAGAAAGAAAAAACTTTATTATACATAATAAAAAGGATATTTAGGTAAAAAGAAAGTGCACTTACCCCCAACAGTAGAATTCCCTGTGTCGTGGGCATCTAGTCTCTTCCATTTGACATATAAACGATACGGTCTGTCAATAATTTCTACATAACACTTACATTTAATAATTAAACTATTATTGCACAACGTTTTAACGACAACGACAACTATTTTAGTCAAATATATTATTTATATTATATTATTATTATTATTACTATTTTTAATTTAATTGTTTAATTCAGAAAACAAGGTTCCATAACAATGTTAGTAAATTACAGCTTAATACCTTAAATCTAAGTGTTAGTATGTTTACATTAATTCATACCGGAATCATTCCGCATGATATAGAGGAACAGTGATTCAGGTATGGGCAATCGACTCGGTCCGCGATAATGCGGAGGATACCGTTACCGCTAGCTCTCACCCTGCGCACCAAGGATGCACATCTCTTGCGTATGGTGGCGTAAAAACAATCCACCCGCGCCTCAGCAAACATCCCCGATGCGCTGCAGAATCGAGGCAGCCGCAACAGCACCCTGAACGCATTATTATATTGGATACGGAAAGCGTTGTATGACAATCGAGTATATTTCGACCATAAGGCGCTCGTATAGAATGATGTGCAGAATGCTCTAAACAAGGTTACTTTCACATCAATTGAGCATCGTGCAAACCTGCGGGCGATCATGTTCGCCCTGACACACAACGCTCTCCGTTCCCTATCTATATCAGCATCGTCCCTGAGGTCGGGTGTCAAAATGTGTCCAAGATATTTAAATGTTTTTACAATTTTTAAAGGGACCCCATATAGCGACATGGGGGGTATACTGGACACACCCTTCCAACCGGCCCCAAAGACCATGACTTCACTTTTATTTACATTATATTTCAAACCATGACTAGCCGCATATACCTCACAGAGCTTAAGGAGACGTCTAACCCCGCAGGCAACTATGTAGGTTAAGAAAATTTTAAATACTGTGTTGGAAATAAGTACTACTCACGAAAATTTTAGTCAAATTGCACTTTAATATTTAAATACATTTATAACTGCCGTATCAATATGTATCTGATAGCCTATATTGGGGACAAAATCTGTTATCTGAGATGGCTATACAAGGCTTGCCTCGATGCCTTGGGAAAATTGTCAGGAACCTCAACAAAAACTGATGTATTACTTTCTCTCACATATCATGAAGACCGTAAACTTTTCGCTTTATATTATAATTGCTAATGCCCTCCAATATGCGTGGAATATATAACATATGCATTCATTAATAAGAAAAATACCAATTTTTTTACGGTTAAAGCTCTTAATTAGAATACTGATTTAGCCAGTACATACTTAAGTCAACTAAAAGCACTTTTTTATTATTTAGGTAGCCAACAACTTTTATACAAAACCAAATTAAAATATAATTCTTATAAATAATGGTGTGTCTGTGCGTATGTGTTTATGTGTGTGTGCCTGTTGGATACTATTTAATTAATTAATTATTTTGTATATCAGTTTTGCTTTATTAATAATGTCAAATTGAGAAGACTGTCATTTTATTACTGTAAGTAGTAAGTTAGTGTTCACGCTTGAGAAGTCGGTTGTTCTGACACCAACAAGAAACGTGGCCCACTAGTACGGATTTAAAAAAATTCACATACCGTTATCTATTTATGTGCACAATTATATATATGTACTATAGATTGTACGATGAAAAAATCTCTACTGTGTAAGGGAGACACTTACTTGCCTACAAAGGTCTTTGTGATAAACAGAAGTAGTAGCTGCTGACTAAAGTAGAAATCGATACCTGTAAATGTTAATAGCGAAACTAATTTACTATAAATTTTCTTACAAAACTAAATATTAAAGAAACTATTATGAAAAAACATAGACAAATCATTCCGATAGTTGAAAGAAAGTAATGCAGATACATGATATTGTTTGTTGTAACTAGAGCTTGCGTTTTAGCTGCCTAAACACTTTCACCATCCATCACTTGCATACT